AGAGAGAGGAAGGAAGGAAGGAAGGGAGGGAGGGAGGGAGGGAGGGAGGAAGGAAGGAAGGAAGGAAGGAAGGAAGGAAGGAAGGAAGGATGGAAGGAAGGAAGGAAGGATACAATGATATATTTTGGTGCCAGTACTTTGATGCATACTAAGGAATCAGTAGTTTTACCCGTTATTACTTTGGGATCATCATTGCAAATATTAACACAGTGAAAAAGGCCAATAACAGGTAGTACATTGGTAATAAATTTATGTTTGGAGACTTCCTAAAATAGTCTCAGGAGCCCTCGTGGTCTATGTTCACAGCTGAGAACGGCCTGTACCTTTTAGAATTTGCTGCTAATAACCAACATAAATCACCCACCAAAGTTCTGTCAAATATCTTATTTTGTGGGCTACAGAGAAAATTTCCAAACCCACATAAAAGCCAATGGTGTGTTATGACAGTGATTGGTCTTTTAAATTTAAGAATCTGGAAGTATTAATAAATATTCCATATATTCCATACCAAAATCTGCTAGCTTTAGTTCTCCTTTTTCATTAATGAGGAGGTTCTGTGGTTTCAAGTCTCGATGCAATACCTTTCTTCTGTGGCAATATGCCAAACCACGTAGAATTTGGTATAGAAATAGCTATAGAAATAAATAAATAAAAATTAGTCTTACAGATGAGACATGCTTTAGTATAAGCATAAATGATGGTAAGCAGAAAAGCAACTGGCCCAGAGCATTGTAACAGGAAAAGGAAAGTAACTGCATCCTTAAATACAATGTCTTTTCCTTTTATAGAATGGTTTTCTGAATTTAATAGTTTATTATTCTCTTTGAAGTATCTACCTATTTTCTAGTCTGATAATATCTACGGAAATAAAATGAAACATCCTTCTAGCAGTAATAGTTCATTTACTGTGGAGAGTGACTTTATATATATCCTCATACACTTACAGGCCTACTAAGGCTTACATAGTTTAATCAAGAAATTCTGGCAAAACAACCAATCAACCAACCACCCCTCCCACTCATCTCTCCTTAAAAAACAAAAACAAAAACTCTGATCTGAGGAGTGTCTTAAAATAAGGCATTGGAATGGGTGATTTCATGAAAAGTCTGAGGTATCAAAGAGAATGCTGCTGCACAGCTCTAGCAAACTACTTACTATAAAAATAACCCACACCCGCTTCTATCACCCACCTCTTGGGTACTTTACTTTCAGCACCTCCTACTCAGCCTTCAAAATCTACTGTAATTCAAAAAGGGGCATTAGGACTGTAGTGTTCTGAATGACTCTGAAAAAAGCAATTCCTATAAGGCTGGTGGTAGAGTTTTTGTTGCAGCTTTTGGTAGACAGAGGGTTATGGAACACAGAAGACCTTTGATTCTCTGGGGTTAACAAAAAGAATCTCAAGTACAGAGGATTCAAGAGTTTCCCCTCAGTTCACTGTAGGTGAAAAACAGCATCAGAACACTGAGTCTCAGCCAAGGCAGCAGATTAACGGTATGCCTGAATGAATTCTCTATGCCAAAGTCTCTTCGTAATTATGTTTTTAAAACTCTAAAATTACTAATTTAATGTATTCCTGTTATACTTTATATTTTGAAAGTATAAAAGCCATTTAAACAAATAAATAATGAAATGCTTTCCAACTTAAGCTAATCATGTAAACCTGGAGTTAAAGAAATAACATTTGTGGAATTATTATCACTAAGGACCTTGTTTTATTTCCAAATTATTGCTAATAAAAAAGCAGGAAAAACAAAATTAAAACCACAAAAAGATATAAAATGACAGTTATAACACTTTGCAAACAAAAAATGTAAAATATAATGAAAACAACCCTGACAAAATATATATGGAAGTACATTTAAAGCCCTATTTTAAAATTCTTAGCAATGTGTTATCCATATGTTCTGAGCTGTCTTTTAGTAACAGAAACTGGCTTTCCTTTATAACCACCAAACTTAATATTTTTTTAAATGTTAGTTTAAAATTACTACCTACAGAATTAGAAATGTCTGAAACACATAGCTATGACAACCTATTTTCAGAATAGGTTCTTACATATTGTTGACTAAGTTTGGATAAATAAATCTTTACTAAATTTGGATACACCACTCAGGTCAAAGAAACCTACTGTAAGAATACAAACTATGCCTGATGCTGTTACTTAGTTACAGGGGTGTCATTTGGGACTGACTTTATGGCAAATGTTTTTAGCATCAAATTTTTTAATATGTTGTAGTAAAAAAAACACACCAATTATCTTACTTTTCTTCCTGACAGTATAGATTGGTATTTCCAGCATAGTGTTCACAAAGCCTGCATGTTCTGGCCTTATTCATCGGTCCTGAAAAGTTGCTGTTTTATAATTAAATACCACTTATTTGGGGAGTCACTACTTAAAGAAGGCCTTTCACAGAATGCAACCATCATTTGTATTTAATTACAATTTTTTTTAAAGCAGAACATACCTGTACATGTATTCTATATCTAGGACAATCAGTTGTAATGTGAAATGTCAAAAGAATGAGGTGGTTCTAAAAAAAGGTCTGATCCTAAGAAAGCTATAGTGTAGTAAACAGGTTCTGAATAAATACTCCACATTCAGAGGACAACAACCTATTTAAAAGGCCAAACAGAAAACCCTGAAGAATAGTTAGGAGGCTGGTACATTTCATTATATAATGTGATTCACATATGCTTTAAACACAAATTGAAAATTACACATGAAAACATACCTTTACGTTGTGCATACTCATGATGTTTCCACAGTCATCCATGTACTGTTTCAGGTCTTTATCCTGAAAAAACACAGCAGTCTGCTAAGTGATACACAGTTTTCAGAAGGTTGTGACTGGTTCACTTAATAGTGTTTTAATTTTTTAAAATAAGTTGTTTTTCAAGAAAAGATACTGGATGAACCACACACATAATTTAACTAAAAACTGATAACAACAAAGTCCCTTGGGCTGTGAAAAAGTCCAATTTAAGCACAGCTGTATTTTAAAGAAAAATAAAAAATTAAAAGTCCAATTTACTATGTTTTTCTAAAGCAAAGTTAAATACTGAATTTTTATGAAATGCTTACCAGATACTCAAACACCAAAGTCAAGGATTTATCTGTGTGAACAATGTCATGTAAGGTTACTATATTTGCATGTTTTAAATCCTTTAATAGTGAAACTGCAAAACAGAAAAAGAAAGACAATTATTTACTCTGTGGTAGTCTTTATAAAAACCTGAAGTGAGTTGAACATATGAACTGATTAAAAGATTCTCTTAAGTTTAGGTGTCCAGCGGTGGCTCACACCTATAAAACCTGTCACTTTGAGAGGCCAAGGTGGGCCTCTCACTTGAGCCCAGGAGTTCAAGACCAGCCTGGGCAACAATGGCAAAACTCGGTTGCTCTTCTTTTTTTTAAAAAGAAAAAAAAAAAGAGAGAGAGAGAGATTTTCTTAAGGTTAAAATGATAATTTACCAAGGGGATTGGCAGTAAAAATTTTCATGAAAATCAATTTTTTCTTTTATTTTATACTACTGGGTTTGATACTATAATACTTAGAATTGTCCTCAGTATTATAATATTCTCCATATCATCTTCCGTATTTTTCTTAAATGTTAACTTTTGAAACTTCTGAGATTAATTTAGATATAAAGTGTAAAGAATCATTTTTCCCCTCCACATTACTAATCAGTTGCCTCGAGCCATTTTCTGAATAATGTCTTCTTTTTAAAATGACACTACAATATAAATATGTTTTCACACTGTTTTTTATATTTATTTAGCTTATGTGGTTAATTTATAGTTACCATGTTCCCCATGTACCAATGTAAAACATTTCCTTTTGACAAATAGTCGTCTATGATCGTGATTTTTAATGAATTCGGATTTCATTGTAAGTTATACATTAGGCTGGGCGCAGTGGCTCACGCCTGTAATCCCAGCACTTTGGGAGGCTGAGGCAGGCAGATCGCCTGAGGTCAGGAGTTCCAGATCAGCCTGGCCAACATGGCAAAACCCTGTCTCTACTAAAAATACAAAAAATTAGCTGGGTGTGGTGGCGGGCGCCTGTAATTATATCTACTTGGGAGGCTAAGAGAGGGAGAATTGCTTGAACCCGGGAGGCAGCAGTGAGCTGAGATAGTGCCATTGCACTCCAGCCTGGGCAACAGAGCAAGACTCTGTCTCAAAAAAGAAGAAAAAAATAGTTATACATTAATATAATTAATTCCTTTCTTTTGGAAATTTTCATTTTAGAAATTAACTTTAAGGTTTAATTATATCTTCTAGTCATTTATTACTTGTATATCTGAGCTCTTTTTACTTATAAAAAATAAACTGTTATTCTACCACTTTGATTTTAAAATGTTCTGTATAAATATTATACCTTCTCTTATAGCTGTGCAGGGTGCACCTTCTTCATGTTCCAATCGGATTTCTTTTAATGCCACCAAATTCTCTGTCAATTTACTTCTTCCTTTATACACTGTTGCATATGTACCCTATAAAATATATTTTTAAACGACACATCAAAAGTATAAAAGTCTATTTAATATTATCTGTACAATAAAGCTCTACCTAAATTTCTAATTCCTAAGCATTGTTAAATTCCATCTTGCAAAGAAAAACACACAATAATCAGTCTTGGCTTTTCTTACAGCAAACAGGAATTTCAGTTCATATGCACAGCTTCCATACTTCTGTAAAACTAAAGAGTGCCTCAAGAGTATAAAAACATAGACAGAATATTTACTTTTTGTACTTTATTTCGGATTGACAATTAGATCAATAGCTTTAAAATCAAAAGTTCTTTACCCTCAATGGTATATGGAGACTGATGGACACTAATTGAACACATTGTAATGTTCATACTGTTAAATCACAAAAATAAATTTTTTTTTTGAGATGGGGTTTCACTTTCGCCCAGGTTGGAGTGCAGTGGCACAATCTTGGCTCACTGCAACCTCTGTCTTCTGGTTTCATGTGATCCTCCTGCCTCAGTCTCCCAAGTAGCTGGGATTACAGGCCCCACCACCACGTCCAGCTCATTTTTATATTTTCGGTACAGATGGGGTTTCACCACACTGGCCAGGCTGGTCTCGAACTCCTGACCTCGTAACCCACTCGCCTCGGCCTCCCAAAGTGCTGGGATTACAGGCATGAGCCACCACGCCCGGCAATCATAAAAATTTTACCCATGTTTCCAAGATTTTTCAGAATCTTTGTACATTAACTCTCCTTTAAATAACAATGATTTCTTCTATCATTGCTAGCCCTCAAGCTCCTTTACGGCTTCCCTATTAACTATTATTTTCTTTGCCCTTTCTTACTATAGGAGGTAGGCCATTTTTAAACCAGTAGTACTAGTAGCAATTCCAAGAAAATCAAGGTCTTAAGAATTTCCTTAACCTTCAAAAAATGTGTTTTTATCTTTAAGGTAATATTTGATTTTTCACAGATCTGAACTCATGCAATTTCCCATGACAGCCAGGAACAGACTGTAGACTGCCAGGAGACTAAGTGACAAATGCCTACTTTGTTATCAAGAAAGCGTAATACTTTCTGCTTCAATAAAAAATTATGAAGCTATAAAAAATACACATTTCCTCTCAAACTGATGGGTAATTTCAAGGACTGAAGAATCTAACTCCTAGAAACTTCTGTTACCTTTTCAGAATAAGTATATAATCTTGTAGACATCAGTATTTACATTTTTTCCAGGTTAACAAGAACTGTGGAGTAACAGTTTGAATGATGAATAAAAAACAAAAAAATGTGTGTTACATTTTTGAAATAGTATTTACTTACCTCTCCAAGCTTTTCCAATTTGATGTAGGTTTCCATTTTTCCAAAGCCAATTTCTGACTGAAAGTAAACAATGATAAATTTAGTCTTTTTCTGTTTTTTGTTGTTGTTGTTTTTTGAGACAGCATCTGACTCTGTCACCCAGGCTGGAGTGCAGTGGCACAATCTTGGCTCACTGCAACCTCCACCTCTTGGGTTCAAGTGATTCTTTCTCTTGCCTCAGTCTGTGGAACAGCTGGGATTACAGGCACATACCACCATGCCCAGCTACTTTTTGTATTTTTAGACAAGATTTTACCATGCTGGCCAGGCTGGTCTCAAACTTCTGACCTCAGGTGATCTACCTGGCTCGGCCTCCCAAAGTGCTGGAATTACAGGCATGAGCCACTGAGCCTAGCCTAGCATTTATTCTTAAAGTTTCTTTCTTTCTTTTTTTTTTTTTTTAAGACAGAGTCTTGCTCTGTCACCCAGGTTGGAGTGGAGTGGCACGATCTCAGTTCACTGCAATCTCTGCCTCCCAGGTTCAAGTGATTTCCTGCCTCAGCCTCCTGAGTAGCTGGGATTACAGGCATGCACCACCATGGCCGGCTAATCTTTTTGTGTTTTCAATAGTGACGGGGTTTCACCATGTTGGTTAGGCTGGTCTTGAACTCTCGACCTAATGATCCGCCCACCTCGGCCTCCCAAAGTGCAAGGATTACATACAACAAGAGTGAGCCACCATGCCCGTCCTTAAAGTTTCAACTCATCTCTTCCTCAACTTCTGAAACTCTCCTACTCTAATGAGTCATTAAGAATAGAAAAATCTGACTAAAATCAAATGGTTGAATATCTATCAAGTTTTAAAATAAACCGAATGTTGGAACATTCAAAGGTTCAAAAATATCAAAGTTCATAATCAAAATTGTCAACCCATCCTTTGTACACATTAGTTAACATTCTGTTATGAAAAATACTTTGTTTTATTCTAAGATATCCCAGGCATTTTAAGATACTAAAGAATCCTATCAAGAATGACTACTTGGGGTTTTCTTTTTAATGAAATTGCAAAATAATTTTCCTACATATTTTCCCTCACCAATCTGAATTCCCAAGGAAGTCCTGAAAATAATAAAATATTATTTGTTTCAGGCTTTCCAATCAAAATATAATGAAAAAGACAAATAAAAATCATACCCTACTAAATGGCAAACATAGAAGCAGCAATGTAAATCTAATTCTGGCTACACTCCCCCCTCAAAAAAAACCACACAATAACAAGAGAAAATAAAAGTGAGTTATCAAAAGCCTTGCTTTAAAAGCCTTGAGCTTGCCTGCCTATTGTGTATGAAGATGATAAATGGGATAGATGAAATATACCTAAATATGTAATACAAACCCAATATTTAAAATGAAGAAGAAACAAAAAACCTTAACACACAAAAACTTAGGAAATTTTTTTTTTAAGATAGATTGAAAACTAGGGACTGAGAGAGCAGAAATATTTTAAAAAGTAAAACAGAATGGGAAAAGAATTTTCTTAAAGTTGCTTTCTAGCACCTCTTTGTAGATAATGGAAAAGGTTATGACAATCTAAAGAAAGATTCACTTGCTTAGAATGGTGCTAATGCCCTTAAATAAAAAGCTGGTGAAAGGAAAGGTTTTTTAATACATAATCTTGGTTCTCAAAGGTGTGTAAATTATGCCAGGTGATTAAATGCTGTGATTTAAACTCTAGAGGTCTAAATATGCAATTTGCCTGGGAATTGTGAAAAAAAATTAAAATAATCCTTGGTAATTAGACTTGCATTACTTACCATGTTAGACAATGGGATAAATTATTCAAAGTTGAATGGCCAAAAGTAGCAAAGGCCCCCTCAAAAGAACTGTTTTTATCTTTTTGTTATGATGATATATATTAAAAGCATGTGGAAAATTGTACATCTAATAGTACTTAATTTAATTTTAGTAAACTAATTAAAACTTTGGTCACAGGCATTATTGAATGAATGAAAAATGATTTCTTTTTGTACTCTTTATGACATTTTCCTATATATGATTTTTTCATAAAACATTAAATTTTAAAATGAAGTTTTATAACCATCATACACCATTCATCCTTGTATATGACTCAGTATTAGTTCTTCACTTTCTATTACCAATAACGATGCAAAATAAAGAAGTAAAACTATAATAGATAACATTTTTTTTTTTTTTTTGAGACGGAGTTTCGCTCTTGTTACCCAGGCTGGAGTGCAATGGCGCGATCTCGGCTCACCGCAACCTCCGCCTCCTGGGTTCAGGCAATTCTCCTGCCTCAGCCTCCTGAGTAGCTGGGATTACAGGCACACGCCACCATGCCCAGCTAATTTTTTGTATTTTTAGTAGAGACGGGGTTTCACCATGTTGACCAGGATGGTCTCGATCTCTTGACCTTGTGATCCACCCGCCTCGGCCTCCCAAAGTGGTAGATAACATTTTTTAAATACAGGTGAAGTTTTTAATTTCAGTATGAAAAACATGGCAAATAACCCACTATCTGGCACATGACAGCCTGATCCTGAATAATCTTTTAATTTTTATATGTTTTATATAGCCTATTTATATATCATCTTAAATAATTTACTTCATAAAAAAGGCTAATTGCCAATGTCACAGAAACTAATAAAATATATTTATTCTGATACTTATCTCTGGAATTTAGGTACTTAAATTCATGAATATAGAATTATTGTAATTTTTCCATGAATTTTAAATTCTGTACCATCTTTTATGGGGGGAAAACACTGCATTGAGAATAAATGCAAACTAGTATGAACAAAAGAATGAATATTCCTGAAAAAAAAATTTTTAATGTCATTATTTATAACAATAAGACGCACATGGGAAATAAGACTGTAAGCTAGGCATTTTTTCTTCTCAGGAGTAGAGAAATTTTCTTATTAATCCTTTTATCTTAAATGAATGAATACCAGTATGTTCTTAAAACATCAAATGTACTGGGGTCCAATGGTTACTATGATAAAATGTTGAGGTTTGCTTTAAAGCCTATGTACACGAACTACAAATTAGGTAGTAAAGACAAAAATGTTTCAGAGATACCGTATCATATAAAGTATGTAAGGAATTAAAAAAAAAAAAACCACTAAACTATGTAAGGAATAAACTGTAAAGTATGCATCAAATATTTAACATTACAAAGAGTCACTCTTCAGGGAATAAAATTTAGTGACATTACAATACGCTGAAAGTTTGTTTTTAATAAAGGAAAGCAAATATTATGCCATAATTATGAAGGTAAGTTTAAATTTGAATAATGAGTCTATAAAATAAACAACACTACTTAATTCCACCCATGCAGGCGGGCAGGCGGAAAATTCAGACAAAGGCACAGTTACACTAGTGAATTGTCTGTCAGCTCCTAACTCAAAAAGTAAAAGTGTACACCCCTCATTTTAGTAATCTCCAACTTAGGATTTAATGATTACATCAAAATAGTACTTACTGAATCTTTAAATAAAATTTTTAGAAAATTTGCTTGCATTTTTATTTGCTGAACACAACAGGATTAACAATAGATATAATGACTAGCTTGTTGATGTGTTCTCCTACAGAAATTATTCAGAGGACAGAGGACAAAGCTCATTTATTCAACATTTACCCAGCACAATGTTAGGTGCTAGACAAGACAGATACGATTCCCACTTTCATGAGTTCACAATCTAGACCAAGTTCCATCCTACGTTATTTTAAAACATGTTAAAAGTTTAAAAGTTTCATAGAAACAGAAATAATAGCTAAAGAGATAGCATAATAAGCTTTATAATGTATACGGTGTTGTTTCAGTCTCTGTAGAAACTGTTAAAAATTGCCACTGCCAACTATACTGAAGTTGTCATGACGGGGTTCTTGTGAAAAAATTTTCAATTAGCAATAACTGTGCCTTGCATAAACCTCATTGACTATGATACTATTACCGCTTAAAGCTTATATTTTCATGTGATATAAAAGCCCACTTAATGCTGCCTGCCAGATAAATGAAGATGTTTTCTGGTATTTCACTGTGCCAAGAAAATACTTCACTTTTTGGTAGCCCCAACCAAATTCCTATTCAGATGGCTCTTATAGTATATAAGCACATGAAAATTCTAAATACATACATATATGTATTTAGACAGATATTAATAAATTTATATAATTATATACATATAAAATAAATTATAATAGTCTTCCTAGAATTTAGTGTAACTTGTAAGCAAAACCAAGCCTTAAGGGGCATTTTTTTGTTTACTTTGTATCTAGCAACATAATTACTCTATCACATGCTGGAGATGCTGTTCTAGTTGAGCTTCAAAACAAACGAAGGACAGGAGGTCCCCCTTATCCACAGAGGTACGATACTTCTAAGACCACCAGTGGATGCCTGAAACAGCAGATAGCAATGAAACCTTTATGTACTATGTTAATCCCTATACATATTAATATACTCCTAAGGTAATGTTTAGTTTATACATTTTGCAGAGTAAGAGATCAACTGATAAACTATAATAATACACTGTAATAAAAGTTACGTGAATGCAGTCTCTCCCTATCTCTCACTCTCAAAATAATCTTACTGTATTACATTCACCTATTTTCAAACTGTGTTTGACCTGTTGTAACCGAAATTGTATAAAGGGAAACCATGGGTAAAGGGGGAAGCTCCTGTATGTACAGTGGATCCACAGACGCCATTTTTGAGAGAGAGAGAGACAGAGAGTGAGAGACAGAGTGAGACAGAGAGAGAGACAGAGAGACAGAGAGAGAGAGAGAGAGAGAGAGAGAGAGAGAGAGTGTGTGTGTGTGTGTGTGTGTGTGTGTGTGTGTGTGTGTGTGTTAAAGAAGATGGAGGCTTTTTGAAACACCCATTTCCCTCCCTGTGGGAATTACCAAGTCACCACTACTGACAGAAATGTGTTTTATCCCTTAGACTTGGTGGTCAGAGGGACAGATAGAGAATCTCTATGCTACTTAATCACTTTGTCTTACAAAAATTGCTATTATCATCACTACAATACCACCTTAATCCTATACTCCTGTAC